TATCTATCTATCTATCTATCTATCTATCTATCTATCTATCTATCTATCTATCTATCTATCTATCTATCTATCTATCTATCTATCTATCTATCTATCTATCTATCTATCTATCTATATAGCTATCTATCTATCTATATAGCTATCTATCTATACATATATATATATGTATATATCTTTCTGTCTACCTGTCTATCCGTATATCGGTCTATCCGTATATCGGTCTATCCTTCAATCGATCTATCTGTCTATCGATCTACCCGTATATCATCTATCCATCTATCCATCTATCCATTATATCCAATATATCCAAGCTATCCAATCTATCCATCTATCCAATCTATCCATCTATCCATCTATCTATCTATCCAATCTATCCATCTATCCAATCTATCCAATCTATCGAATCTATACATCTATCCAATCTATCCAATCTATCCTATCCATCCATCCATCCATCCATCCATACATACATCCACCCATCCATCCATCCATCCATCCATCCAAATCCTTAATTTTATGTCTAAATTTCAGATTTCCTTGCTTTATTATTTTATTCCACCATCTTGTTGCTAGCCAGAAGTCCCCCAGTTTTCAAACCGGAACAAGTGGATTTTTCCTTGGCCGACGCTAAAGTGGTAGATTGGCGGTATTTTTATCTTCGGGTGGACTGATGTTCACGTCACTTAAAGCCACTTAGAGACCAGGCATAAGAAATTGTTGTGAGGATGTTACGTAATGTCGGGAAGATATTATTTTTTTTTAAGATTGGCGTAGTGTGGAGTGTTCAGATCTTGGTAGGTGACCTGGGGATACGGGGGGATTGGGGTGGCGTCCCACAGTATGGAGACTGACCAACGGTTGTTGCATTACATCGTGACGAGGCTATTACGAACGTTATATGATAGCAGTGGTTAGTTAATGTCCATTTGAACGACGAGTGGGGGGGGGGTGGCGTTGGAACAAATTTTAGTACCAGAGATGTAGCAAAAGATCAAAGTCATGGGGGGGGGGGGGGAGAATCTCTAGTGACGCAACGACCAATTCAGGGACTTATAAAAGGGGACCATTAGATGGGACTAGAAGAACTCAGCCGGGACAGGAAAGCGGGCAGCCGGCAGGGAGAACTCTGCCGGACAGAGGTAGACGACAGACGAGAGAAACCCATAAGGAAAGAGAGAGAAACGAACGGGGACCGTCGGAGCTGAGTGCGAGAAAGAGAGAGAGAGAAAGTGAATTCGATGTAGATGACAAATGAAAGGTCGAAGACTGCAACCATCGTCATCGCGTTTTCCGTTACGTGTACGTTGAATAACGAGTGACAGAAAGCAAGTGTTACCAT